TATCTGAGATAGAGAAATCCAAGTTTTCATTATAAATGCATTCAGAAAGAATACCACTTTTATTTAGCAAAGGAAAATTTTCAGAGCTTTCAAGTGTAAACATAGATTTAAATTGAAAGTTCAGAAGATCAACTATATCAGGAAGAGCTTCAATAATTCTGCCTGAAGTATCTTTGAGAGAGCGAATTCTATCTTTAATTTTTAGTTGTTTGTTGATATATTTGTAAACGATTTTTGGGTTGTTTTGGGATTTTGATATTATTTCTTTTTCATGTGCTTTTTTTGATTTAAATATTTCAGTTTTTACTGAACGATTAAGGCGATTGTATTTTATTTTAAGCTCACTATTCTCCCATTTGGTAGAGCAGTTTATATACCAAGCGGATTTTTTTTCTCGGATCAGGTTTTTAATATGTGGGGTAACCCAAGGATCATACTTTTTTTTTGTTTTATTAATCTTGGGAATAAAATATGTGCAAGCAGTGCGATAGTTAGAAATTAGTATATTGAACATTTGATCTGCAGTTTTATGCAGGAATAAAAACTCCCAGTCGATTGATGCAATAAAGTTAGATATTGAATCGTAATCAACTTTTTTGTAATTAAACGATTGAGATACACTTTCGGTAAACAGTTCTGAAACTAAGAATCTCCAAGTGATACTAAAATGACCCTTAGTGGTGTTACCTAGTATAGTACTAGGAGACAAGTTTAAAATAGAAATACTGTTGTAGGTAAATAACAAGTCCAACATATTATTTGAGGAACCATAATCAGTCTGGAAAGTAGGAAATGTGATATGTTGAGTAAAAAGGCTGTTTTGGAAAATATTCCAGAAATCATACTCGGTAGGATTGTTTGGGTTAAAAGATTCAATACCATTGTTAGACCACTTTATATTCGGGAAGTTAAAGTCACCGACAATCAAACAGTCATCATAGGGCTTTTTAATTAAACTATGAGCTAATTTGAAGGATTCAGCGACATATTTTATTAAACTGGCATCATTTGGTCTGTATATACAACCGATAAGTATATGTTTGTTGTTAAATTTTTACAGATACCCAGACTTGTTCGAGAAGATTTGTATAAAATTGGTTAACTTCATGAGAGTTAAATACGTCTGTAATGTAGATAGCTACACCGCCACCTCGACGTCCGTCTTGACGATCTTTACGATATAAGCTATACCCATCGATATTAGGTACTGAGTCATTTCGAAACCATGTTTCAGAGATAGCAATAACGTGATAATCAAACGTTCTAGATATTGAAATTAAATCGGCCATTTTATTATCGAGAGATGTAGCATTAGTATAATAACAATTAACGCTATAGTTTGTTTTTTTGTTATGAAGATTTTTACTTTTGTATTTTAAGTTTGCTGGTAAAAGATTGGAAGAAGGGTAGTAATGTTTATGTAGTGGTTTGTATATTTTTGAGTTTGACGACTCCGCTGCTTCGTATACCGTATCTAAAGAGCGATGTTTTTAAATTGATATTACTATTTAATTCATTACGCTTCATTCTTAACTGATAGTTTAAATATCTTTCAGCCTCAGTCAAATCTGGGCTTATAAAAATATTTTTATAATTATCTGAGTTTTTCAATTTTTTTGCTGCTGTTAATAATGGGTTTCTTTCGGAGACATCAGAAAGTTCGACGATAATTGGTCCTGGTTTAGAGGACGTAGATTTAATACGTTTGACAGATTTTGGTTTTGCATCAGATGAAATAGTAACTAAGATATTCTGAACCGTTTCCTTATCGTCGATATGCTTATCAGCAACTGATAACTTTGCAGATTCTTTAATGCCATAAATAATAACATTTTTTTCACGCTTCTTTTTTTGCTGTTGCTCAATGGCAAATGTGTTGATAATTTTTAGTTGTTCAATTTTTAGTTGCTTTTTTTTTATGTTTTTGCTTGCAACTGTAATCCAGCTGGATTCGATACTACTGGTTGTGGTATTAGTTAGCTCATTAGGATTTTGGATTAGCTTATCTATTATTAATTGTTGTTGCTTTATTACTTGTTCTAGTTCAGATATTTTGGCCGACCATTTCGCAGTTTCAGCATGAATAAGTTTTTTAACTGCGTCCTCGACTTGCTTTAATTGAGCTGGTGTTAAATTAGTCATCACAGATGAATTTTTTTTTTTATATCAGTGATGTTTTTATGTTTATTTATTTGTTACAATTATTGCAAATTTATTTGTTACAATTATGACAAATAACTTATTACACAGGGACTAAAAAGATTCAGTATGTGTTTTTTTTTCGTGTTATCATATTTATTTGTATATATTTAATTTCTTTATATTATTTGTATATGTTTATATATAACTTTTTTATATGTATTTTATATATAATGGATATATAATTTACTAATATAGTTTGTGTCAGAGCGCAAAAATTTAGCTTATTGTTCAGAAAACTAAAAACAAAGAACAGGTGCAAACGCAACTTTTGGCGAAGAAAAAGAAAAAAAAAAAAAAAAAAAAAAAATATTTATAAATGTAGTTACAACCCTTTCGTGTCTCCATTAAATACCATTCAGTATTGCTCTATCAATACCTGTGGTTACGCTTATAAATTGTAAAAAAAGTTTTTGTAAGACAGAAAACTTTTTTAGAATGCAAGTCACAAATTTGTGGATTAGTCAACTAGATGCTTTTTGTGAATATCAAATGTACTTGTACATATAAACGATAAGACTGGCAAAAGTATTTTCAAATGAACTAAAGGTTAATAGGTTTATTTATTATGCCTAATTATTAAAATAAAATCTGAACCTTAGCTACGGTTGTTCAAACAATTTGTTTGAACAAATTGTTTCTTTTAAAAAATTTCCCAGCGGGCACAGAGCGTCTGCTGGACGTCTTGAGGACGTCTAACAGACTTGTGACGTCCATAAGATATTGTATAAACGTCCCACGAACGTCTGTGCGCGCTGGGTTACCCAACGCAATTAATATAGTGTGAACACAAAATTAGATCACAAAAAAAATGACGAAAGAAAGGTTTAAACCAATGGTACACATGTTTTTTTAAAAAGATAACTTTCAAAATCTGTCAAAACGTATAAAATAAGACGTTATACAATAAAAATGCAAAGTATAGCCATTTTTATTGTATAACGTCAATTTTTATCAAAAATTAATGCTAATGTTTTAATTAAGGCGTTGTTCCAATTAAAGCAACTCTCCCCTAATATTCTTTAATGATGAATGCGTTATTCTTTTTTATGAAAATTTGTATAGTCGAACTTATTAATAAAGTCGTACTTATTAATAAAGAGGTATAAATGTTGTACAAACATTTTTGTGCATTAATATAGGAAGCTCTTTAAGATATTTATACTTTTTTGATATAACACTCAATAATGTTCTTTATTTGAATTTCTATTAGTTTTTCAAACTGAATGACTAAACTATTTAGTTCAGTATTATAGTTTAGATTTATTGAAGTAACTATTGGAGGTTTTTTTTATAGTTTATTTTTTATACTGTTTGTTTATATTTAAACAAAAAAGAATTCATTTTAAAACAGTAAGGATTTAATAACAAAGTTTTTTATATTTATTTGTTTATTTGTGTTACGTTAACTATAGTAACATCAGTAGCTACAACAACGGCAGTAATATCATTAACAAAATCAACAGGTAAATTGATTTGTAGTGTTTACATGTTAGTTTTTTTGTTGTTGTTGTTCTTTTATCATATGGCAATTGCTTTTTTTCATTTAAGATTTATCTCGAAATAATTATTCAGTATATTGAAGATCGAATAGAGGGCCTGCATCTTATATAGTAATATAGAATCTGGGCCCAATTTGTGACAAATTCCCTTATATTGGGAAAGTGGCTCGCTTAGTTAGCAAACTTATTAGGGGAGGAGTGGTAGGAAAACATTATGCTACATCTGTATTTAGTATTTTTGTGAATCTACTAATTAGAGATGCAGTTAAATGTTTTTTGTAAATATATATTTTTCTTTTTATATTTTGTTTTGTTACTTTGTATTTATATAGTATTTATAAAAAATAAAAATTTGCTCTCTCAAATATTGTTTTACTTTTAAAAAATTATTTTTTGATCTTTTTATAGAAAAGAATTTTTATTGTTTTTCTTTGTAAATAAGTTTTGTTAAAAAGTTATATTTTGCTCCTTTTTCTTAATATCTATGCTTCTTTTTAATTGTCAAAAAATTATGCATTTTGTTCCTTTTTCCTAATAATCGATATTATACTAATTGCAAATAAATATATATATATATATATATATATATATATATATATATATATATATATATATATATATATATATATATATATATATATATATATTTATGTTATTTTTATATTATAATATTTTTATAGTAATAGCTCCTCTTGAATTAAAATCTTGGTTATTTTTAATTAAAATAACTTTTCTCACCTGCCGCATTAACGTAAGGAGAAGAGGTTTTATCTGGAGGGCCTAGACTTTATTACAACTATAAATTTCAAAAATCTCGGGGAGAAATATCATGCAAATGTCATCCATGTTAGAGATATTAACATTTATTCTTTTGTTAACGTTTTTACGTAATCAATTAGGTAAATCTTACAAAATATTACATTCGAACGTTTTCTTAAGAAATAAATAAACGGGATCAGGTTTCTATTAAGCTCTAAGTAGCCGGAAAAGATCAAAACTAAAATGTGTTCCTTTTCCCCGCGTTTATTATAAAAGTTCAAAAGTAAGTAACTTTAGTCGTTAACCTAGATTATTAAATGAATCGTTTTTCTACTGTTTATTTAAAAATATTAAAGCAAAGTGACCATATAAAGAACAAGTATAAAAATGTTCGATGTGGGCCGGAATTTTAAATACGATGACCCAGAATTTACGGGTTCGGAAAGCTAGTAAAAATAATTACTCGAATGATAATAAAAATTAAGATTTTATTTATAAGAATTACACGGAGTTTTCTAACTTTTAAATAAAAAGCTTCGTTTTCTTTTATTTTAGTAACAAATACATCCTATAATAATAAACCTACATTATATAAATAAATATATATATGTTTTATATATTTTACAATATATAAATAAATATATATAATAAAACTAAAACAATAATCACATAATTAAACAACTCGATTGCCGATTCTTTAAATTACTTAAACAGTTTGCGATATTACGTTTTGTTTTTATTGTATCTGGGTGGTTGATACCAAATATTTCAGTTTGTATTTTATCAACAGAATAATAAATTTCTAAAGCTTCGTTGTATTTTCCCAATTTGTTTAAACAGAATGCAATATTATGTTTTGTTGTCATTGTATCTGGATAGTTAATACCTAAAATTTCAATTAGTATTTTATCAACGGAATAAAAAATTTCTAAAGCTTCGTTATACTTTCCCATATTATACAAACAGGTTGCAATATTATGTTTAGTAGTCATTTTATCTGGATGGTCGGTACCTAAAATTTTAGTTTGTATTTTATCAACAGAATAATAAATTTCTAAAGCTTCGTTATATTTTCCCATACAATTCAAACAGCTTGCAATATTACGTTTTGTTGTCATTGTATCTGGATGATTGATACCTAAAATTATGTTTTGTATTTTATCAACAGAATAAAAAATTTCTAATGCTTCGTTATATTTTCCCATATAAAACAAACAGAGTGCGATATTATGTTTTGCTGTCATTGTAGATGGATGGTTGATACCTAAAATTTTAGTTTGTATTTTATCAACAGAATAATAAATTTCTAAAGCTTCGTTGTATTTCCCAATATTGTTCAAACCGAATGCAATATTGTTTTTTGTAGTCATTGTATCTGGGTGGTTGATACCTAAAGTTTCTATTTGTATTTTATTAACTGAATAATAAATTTCTAAAGCTTCGTTATATTTCCCCATACAGTTTAAACAGCTTGCAATATTACGTTTTGTTGTCATTGTATCTGAATGGTTGATACCTAAAATTTCAGTTTGTATTTTATCAACAGAATAATAAATTTCTAAAGCATCATCATATTTTCCCATTTTTTTCAAACAATTTGCGATATTACGTTTTGTTATCATTGTATCTGGATGATTGATACCTAAAATATCAGTTCGAATTGTATCAACAGAATAATAAATTTCTGAGGCTTCGTTATATTTTCCCATATCGTACAAACAGTTTGCAATATTATTTTTTGTTCTCATTGTATCTGGATGGTTGGTACCTAAATTTTCCGTTTGAATTTTATTAACTGAATAATAAATTTCCAAAGCTTCATTAAATTTTCCCATTTCGCGAATGCAGTTTGCGATATTATGTTTTGTATCAAGCGTGAGTTTATTACTTTCACCATAGGTTTCTGTGTTAAAATTTTGAACTGCTTTTAATATTTCAATTGCTTCTTCAAATAAACCTTTACATACTAATATTTTTTCAGTAGAAGTTGTCATATCATAAAAGACTTTTGAAAACCTTTTGACGTTCTTACGAAACATATAGATAAAATGAAAAACAAAATGGTTTCCGTAATCCATGTGATCCTTTACTTCATACAGTTCAAATTTAAATAAGTTTTCGATTAGATAAAGATACGTATTTGTACTTGAATTTCTATTTTGAAAACATCTACACGTCAACTGTGTCAGTTCGTGCATTGAATATTTTTCATCATCAAAACAGTTTAGTAACGAATAACTCATTAGTAATCCAATGGCTTCATCTATTAAATATTCTTCATTTATTTGCATGTGATTTGAGATATGTGTTATCAATTCTTTACTGATGTTTTGACCGTCGCAATGAGATAAACAGTTTAATATTATAAATGGTAAGGGTTTAGTTTTTTCTAACTTTACTAACACTAAATTAATTGCTTTTATCGCAGATTTCGACTCTTTTTCGGTTGGAAAGTTGTTATTGTCTAATATTTCTGAAGGATTTGATTTATATCGTTGTAAGTATTTTTCTATTGAAAGTTTGTGTATATTTATATACTTTATTGCTTGAGTAATAGCAAAGGGATGATAACCAAGTTCTTTAATTAAATTTTTTATGTTTTCATTGCTGTTTTCTTTAATACTATTTTTTACATAAGCGAATGCTTCTTTACAAGAAAAAACATCAACATTGATTTTATTTACATTATTTGACCACGTTCTCCATTGAGAGGTTATTAACGTAAATGAGTTCGGTTTTCTTGAAATGTACATTGCTAAATTTTTTACACTTTCATCGTCGACGTTGTCAAAAATATATAAAACCTTTTTTTTTTTATAAAAGTTATGAATTTTTTCAACAATCACTTCTATACTAAAATAATCACCTTTTGAATCACGAACTTCGAATCCTAATATTTGACAATGGTTTCTCATTGAAGTTTGTAACTTTCCAAATGCTGCGTCTATCCAAACAAAGTTTTTGTAGAAGGTATAATAAGTTTCACAATATTTTCTTGCGATTTGTGTCTTTCCGACACCCGACATACCACACAATACTAAAATTGACTTGTTTGCATCTTGTAAAAAAAAATGTTGAATTTCACAGAAAAGTTTTTCGCGAGATATTAAATTTTCTGAAGAATGTTGAGCACCTAATATTAAACGTACAGTTATGTTATAAAAACTCGTTATATTATTTTCATAAAAATAAAGTTTAAAAAACGTATTAAGTTGCATTTTTCGAAATCTCTATAAATTATATTATTTTTTTAAAATAGTTTTAAAATAAAGTAAAATGTTATACTATAACAATTTTAGAAATTTTAGAAATTCTCTGTAAAAAAAAAACCTAATGCACCTTGAAAACCCTGCTTGTTGTCATAATTTGAAAAAAAAAATAAACTCGATGAAAAGTCAAGGAATAGTATTCACACGGGTTAAGTTTAGAGTACCGCATGGGTAAAACCAATGATTTCTATTTTTTGAAAATTTCATTATTAAGATATTTTTTTCATATTTTAATACAATGCTATTTTAGTTGGAAAATTCATAAAAAACAAACAACATTTTAAGTTTCTATGACTTTTTTTAAGAAAGGGCATATTTGAAACAACCACTGTTGTCCAATATTGATTGGGTAAAAAATACAGTTGTTAAAGTTATTTATCAAACTAAAACCAAGTTAACTGAACCAATGATAAAATAAAAAACAATTCATTAACTACGTCTTACCATACGAAGAAATAAAACACGTTCCTATACGTCTCAACCGTGACAATGCAGTTAAAATATCTACAAACAGTTGGAGACCTCATCTTAAAAAACTAATACAAAATAAAGGAATCAAATAATATTTGCTAATTTTATATTTACGTTGTTTTTTTTTAAAAGTTAACATCTTCGATAAGTTTTTTATAATAAATTATGTTAAAACATCTGTTTATTTACGTTGTTATGTATGTTATTCTTGTTGTTATGTTATGTTATTCTGTTGTTATTTACGTTGTTATGTATTCTTTTTGATGTCTTTATGTTTTTATGGCTTCTTCTTTGATGTTTTTTATGTAGTATTTGTTGCTGTATTTCGTACTTATATTTTAAAGAGATGTCACAAACACGAATATGAATGTCTCGTACTCGGTAAATACTCAGTATTCTGCCTATTCGGCTACTCTTTTTACTAAACGAATATTGCATACTATTCAATCGAATGCCGAATACCCAATACTAGATTATAATGAAGAAAGCGCATAAAAAAGAACTTCACATAACTTCTTTTATTATTATTATTACAAATAGTAAGTAGATTTGATACTTAAAATCTATAGATGGTAATTTATGACATAAACCTTTTCATCCTTTGATAATAGTAAAAGATGGAACTTTTTCTCATAAATTATACATATTTCAAAAATTGCCACTCACTGTTTACACTGCCGCCAGCAAATAATAAATTTTTTTTAGCAAGTTCTGTTAGGGTAATATTTTTTGTTTGCTAAAAGGGTTTCTTACAAAATTTTGCCATATGGGTTTCTTACAAAATGGTAGGTCATATATAATAGATATGTCATCGTCGGTACTACTAGTAGTCGGTGATGATTCATTGGTGTCAAGCAGCTTTTCACTGAGAAGAATTAGTCTTTCGATGAGAAGGATTAACTTTTCTCTGAAAAAGATTGTGATGAGTGTCACACATCTCAATCTTTCTCGTTGCGTTTTAACTAATACCATAAATTTGTTTTGGAACATCTATTAATAAAAAAGGCAACCATTTAACTATAATCCCCACTAAAATTAAACTATGCTTTAAGCTCAGGTTGTCAAGAAGATATTAGTTTTAATAAATTTGGAGTTCTTTGTGCTATATCTGTCTAAAGCATTTTCTAAAACTACCTCAGAAATGCAAGATATACTTGAGCTGGTTTTTTTTTTGAAATCTTTTTGAATGGTTTGAAAAGTATCATACTTTTATGCATTACTATAGTTAAAATATTTAAAGTAATAGTTAACAAATATTTTAACTTGGTTAAAACATTTATGGAAATACAGACATGGAGAAAACTCCAAAAATTTGTGTGTTTATACTTATGTCAAATAATGATGTTTTGCAAAAAATTGCAACGATTAGAGGCTGGAATCAAAACATCCCTTGAACGTTATCCACCTCCCCCAACCTCAAACGTGAGAGCAACAAGTTGATAAAATTTTGTTTGTACTATTATATATATATATATATATATATATATATATATATATATATATATATATATATATATATATATATATATATATATATATATATATATATATATATATATATATATATATATATATATATATATATATTGGTTTGGTTTATTTATGATCAACAAAATTTATAAATTGTTGATAAAGAGAGGCACACCAGGCCTCTCTGTTATGAGAATACATTTTTCCAATTTCAGCTAAAGTGAAAATGCCGGAGAAGAGAAAGTTCGTGTTTGAAATTGTTCAAGTTCTTTGCGTATAACGTATTTTGCTTAAAAAGAAGCATTTGGTTAAAAAGATTTCCAAAATTTTAAAACACGGCTCGTGAGGAAGTTGTTTTTTTCAGCGCAGTTTCGAACGTGTTGTGCTTTAAGTTGTTTAAACCATTTATGCGACCAAAGACTGTACTTCGAAGACTCGGTGTATGGTTAAAGTTGAGAGACCTGATAGTTAACTTTGTCAATTTTGTTCATAATTTTATATTGCTCAATAAGGTCTTCTCTTTCTCGTCGTTCAGTTAGTGTTGTCAGGCTAAGGCTTGATAGTCTCTGAATATACGGAAGGTGTTTTAAGGTGGCAAAATGTTTTGTGGCTCGGTTTTGAACTTGCTTGAGTTTTTCTTGAGCTAAAAACGGCTTGTACTGCAAATTCTAGGATTGGGTAAACGTACGAAGTATACAACGTAGGCCATAATGGAAAATGTCGACCTTGAAAAGTCTTCTTGAGCAGGCCAAGCATTTGGTTGCAAGCTGGTATAGCCGCGCAGACTTGTTCTTTAATCTTTAGATCGCTAGTCATAAAAACGCCTAGGTCTTGTTTAGATGGTATACATATATTATACATATATAGTTTACTGAGATTAAAACTCGTTTTTTTAATAATTAACTGAAGAGTTTTTCTATTAAAAAATTCAAAAACCTTTGTCTTTTTTTAGATTTTTTTTTAACGCATTTCAAAACTCTATAAAAATTCAGTTTATGGAAATATGTTTTTGTAAAAATATTCATTTTGACTCGATAGATTTAGATGAAAGAATCAAAGTACAATAGACCTTAGGTGTCGCCAAAAGCACCAGAACAGTAAATGGAATGAGCCTTTGCTCCAATCAAAGTTAATCTTAGATTATATATCAACTTTGAGTTAGGTTGGTCAAGGTTAGGATTCGATTGGCTTAAGGTAGATTTAAACGTTAAATGTCGTTTTTTACTGTGTAAATATGCAAGAAAATTAAAAAAAAATGTTTTGAGTTACGTTTTTTTTTTTATTTCAAATTCTTTTTGCACAATAACGAACTAATAGCAAAACCCTCATAAGTTAGGAAAGCAAATAATTAATCTATATACCCAGCTAGGATGCCTGTTTACCTTGCACCCACTTTTTTTACATTTTTACCTTGCACCCAAGTTTTTCTATTATTATAGGAACTGATGCTAAATGTTAATATATAGTAAGTTTTTCTATTATTATAGGAACTGATGCTAAATGTTAATATATAGTAAGTTTTTCTATTATTATAAGAACTGATGCTAAATGTTAATATATAGTAAGTTTTTCTATTATTATAGGAACTGATGCTAAATGTTAATATATAGTAAGTTTTTCTATTATTATAAGAACTGATGCTAAATGTTAATATATAGTAAGTTTTTCTATTATTATAAGAACTGATGCTAAATGTTAATATATAGTAAGTTTTTCTATTATTATAGGAACTGATGCTAAATGTTAATATTTAGTAAGTTTTTCTATTATTATAAGAACTGATGCTAAATGTTAATATATAGTAAGTTTTTCTATTATTATAGGAACTGATGCTAAATGTTAATATATAGTAAGTTTTTCTATTATTATAAGAACTGATGCTAAATGTTAATATATAGTAAGTTTTTCTATTATTATAAGAACTGATGCTAAATGTTAATATATAGTAAGTTTTTCTATTATTATAGGAACTGATGCTAAATGTTAATATATAGTAAGTTTTTCTATTATTATAAGAACTGATGCTAAATGTTAATATATAGTAAGTTTTTCTATTATTATAGGAACTGATGCTAAATGTTAAAATATGTAAGTTTTTCTATTATTATAAGAACTGATGCTAAATGTTAATATATAGTAAGTTTTTCTATTATTATAGGAACTGATGCTAAATGTTAATATTTAGTAAGTTTTTCTATTATTATAAGAACTGATGCTAAATGTTAATATATAGTAAGTTTTTCTATTATTATAGGAACTGATGCTAAATGTTAATATATAGTAAGTTTTTCTATTATTATAAGAACTGATGCTAAATGTTAATATATAGTAAGTTTTTCTATTATTATAGGAACTGATGCTAAATGTTAAAATATAGTAAGTTTTTCTATTATTATAAGAACTGATGCTAAATGTTAATATATAGTAAGTTTTTCTATTATTATAGGAACTGATGCTAAATGTTAAAATATAGTAAGTTTTTCTATTATTATAAGAACTGATGCTAAATGTTAATATATAGTAAGTTTTTCTATTATTATAGGAACTGATGCTAAATGTTAATATATAGTAAGTTTTTCTATTATTATAAGAACTGATGCTAAATGTTAATATATAGTAAGTTTTTCTATTATTATAGGAACTGATGCTAAATGTTAATATATAGTAAGTTTTTCTATTATTATAAGAACTGATGCTAAATGTTAATATATAGTAAGTTTTTCTATTATTATAGGAACTGATGCTAAATGTTAAAATATAGTAAGTTTTTCTATTATTATAGGAACTGATGCTAAATGTTAATATATAGTAAGTTTTTCTATTATTATAAGAACTGATGCTAAATGTTAATATATAGTAAGTTTTTCTATTATTATAGGAACTGATGCTAAATGTTAAAATATGTAAGTTTTTCTATTATTATAAGAACTGATGCTAAATGTTAATATATAGTAAGTTTTTCTATTATTATAGGAACTGATGCTAAATGTTAATATTTAGTAAGTTTTTCTATTATTATAAGAACTGATGCTAAATGTTAATATATAGTAAGTTTTTCTATTATTATAGGAACTGATGCTAAATGTTAATATATAGTAAGTTTTTCTATTATTATAAGAACTGATGCTAAATGTTAATATATAGTAAGTTTTTCTATTATTATAGGAACTGATGCTAAATGTTAAAATATAGTAAGTTTTTCTATTATTATAAGAACTGATGCTAAATGTTAATATATAGTAAGTTTTTCTATTATTATAGGAACTGATGCTAAATGTTAATATATAGTAAGTTTTTCTATTATTATAAGAACTGATGCTAAATGTTAATATATAGTAAGTTTTTCTATTATTATAGGAACTGATGCTAAATGTTAATATATAGTAAGTTTTTCTATTATTATAAGAACTGATGCTAAATGTTAATATATAGTAAGTTTTTCTATTATTATAAGAACTGATGCTAAATGTTAAAATATAGTAAGTTTTTCTATTATTATAGGAACTGATGCTAAATGTTAATATATAGTAAGTTTTTCTATTATTATAAGAACTGATGCTAAATGTTAATATATAGTAAGTTTTTCTATTATTATAGGAACTGATGCTAAATCTTAACTAGTTAACTAAAATTAATATTATAATTAAATTAATAACAATCAATGAAATAATAAAATGAATTAATGATAATTATGAATTCGTATATAAATATTTAAATAAATATTTGTATATAAA